ACAATTTCCATACCGCGTACGCTGAGAAATCCAGTCAACTTTCGACGGATAATAAAATTATGTTCCTTATCAATTCCCAAACTTTTTATTGCTGAAATTAGTTTGGGTACATGTAATCTAAAAGTGTACATATGTTATAACAAAATAAAAGTGGTGGAAAATAGGTTAAAGTTACCCTAACAATTTCCATACCGCGTACGCTGAGAAATCCAGTCAACTTTCGACGGATAATAAAATTATGTTCCTTATCAATTCCCAAACTTTTTATTGCTGAAATTAGATTGGGTACATGTAATCTAAAAGTGTACATATGTTATAACAAAATAAAAGTGGTGGAAAATAGGTTAAAGTTACCCTAATCATTTCAATACCGCGTACGCTTAAAAATCCATTCAACTTTCGACGGATAATAAAATTATGTTCCTTATCAATTCCCAAACTTTTTATTGCTGAAATTAGTTTAGTTACATGTAATCTAAAAGTGTACATATGTTATAACAAAATAAAAGTGGTGGAAAATAGGTTAAAGTTACCCTAACCATTTCCATACCGCGTACGCTGAGAAATCCAGTCAACTTTCGACGGTAAATAAAATTATGTTCCTTATCAATTCCCAAACTTTTTATTGCTGAAATTACTAGAGGTAAATGTAACCTTAAAGTGGACACATGTTAATAGAAAATAAAAATGGTGGAAATTAGGTTAAAGTTCCCCTAACCATTTACTTACCACTCAATCTGTAGAACTCACTCGACTTTCGACGGGTAATAAAATAATGTTCCTTATCAATTCCCAAACTTTTTATTGCTGAAATTAGTTGAGTTACATGTAATCTAAAAGTGTACATATGGTACATAGGTACCTTATACACATTAAATAATATTTACTATATTTAGATGTGCTGGTTATGGGTTTCTGGCTCTGACACGAACATTGACTCGATGTAATAATTTACAAACTGGAAAAGGAGTAAAAAAAGTGTTCCAGACATTTTCGAAAGGTTATAAAACATTTTAAAGGCAGTAAACATTGCTTTACTGCTATAAACATAAACAACACATTTACAAGATGGCATTTGTAACAACATTGGTTATGACGGAAAATAGAAGACCATCAGCATCGCTACAGCCCGGTTGCTTGGATGCATCAAGTCTGCGAACCCTACAATCTTGATCCAAACCAATGAGTTGTACAAACAACTTTTTATATTTACTTGACATACTTATAAATAGTTCCAACTACGAAAATTCTTATCCAAGGTTGCTAAGATTACAAAAAATGCAAGAATACGTCGTACTTAATCTTCTGAGCCGTTCGTAGGTCTGTGACGTTTCCATGCAGAGATAATGAATCCATCTTCCACATTTACAACATTGGCACCACTGATGTCGACGTTGGTCTGAACCATTTCCGCAGGCAAGACAAAGATCTGTAACAGGCAGCGATAATCTGAGGCATCGAAGTTGAAGGTGTTTCCTAAATTCCGAGCTGTCAAATTCCAATTCTATATCTTCAATCTTATTTTTTCCACTGAGAATTGATATGTAAAAAACGACGAACACTCCACAGCTGTTACTATCAATTTGCTTCGGATATCTTATGTTAACAAACTTCATCTCTTCGACGGTGATGGTTTCTTTTTTGGACAGCCGGTTTCTTACTCTCAGAAATTCTTTGATTTTGTCGCATTTTTTCTCGTTCTCTAAACAGTTATCATTCATAGGATCGAGATGAGTGAAAGTCTTATCCTTCATATCTATAACATATAAACTAAAATGATTGCCTAGATTGTAAGGTACAAATATCAATTTCATTTTCTTGAATTCCGTTGTGATAGGTTTGAAGACCGGTGTATACCTTGGTCTTCCTTCTTGAAGGACGAACGTGGCTTCCCCAACGGCAAAACAAAACTGTCCATCTTTTACATATGTTGCGTTGCAAAAATCTACGATTGTCGAAGTCAACCAGTTGCTGTCTGTCAGGGAAGCAAAATCTTTTTGAGATATCTTATCCAAAAACTTTCCCATATTTTTGTTTCTAAAAAAAGCTACTGTAAATCTCTCTAGACTGGCCTTGTCCTTTAAATCTAAATTCGTTGCGTCTGGTGTGTAATATGAGGGTATGTCAATCAATCCATTTTGTAATGCCGGGTGAAAGAAACTCTTTTCTGGATCTTCAAGTACCTTCAAACATATTTTCCTGAACTCTTCAATATTAGTTTCATCGATGGTATCATGGCATTTCAATCCTTGTTCAACAACTTTCATCATATAATAAAGGACAAATATTCCGCAGTTATAATTGTCAGATTGCTTTGATATTTATGGATTTATGATATGGTATGGAAATGATTAGGTGAACTTTAACCTATTTTCCACCACTTTTATTTTCTTTTAACATATGTCCACTTTAAGGTTACATGTACCTCTACTAATTTCAGCAATAAAAAGTTTGGGAATTGATAAGGAACATAATTTTATTATCCGTCGAAAGTTTACTGGATTTTTCAGCGTACGCGGTATTGAAATGATTAGGTGAACTTTAACCTATTTTCCACCACTTTTATTTTCTTTTAACATATGTCCACATTAAGGTTACATGGACGTCAACTAATTTCAGCAATAAAAAGTTTGGGAATTGATAAGGAACATAATTTTATTATCCGTCGAAAGTTGTCTGGATTTTTCAGCGTACGCGGTATGGAAATGGTTAGGGTAACTTTAACCTATTTTCCACCACTTTTATTTTGTTATAACATATGTACACTTTTAGATTACATGTAACTAAACTAATTTCAGCAATAAAAAGTTTGGGAATTGATAAGGAACATAATGTTATTATCTGTCGAAAATTGACTGGATTTTTCAGCGTACGCGGTATGGAAATGGTTAGGGTAACTTTAACCTATTTTCCACCACTTTTATTTTGTTATAACATATGTACACTTTTAGATTACATGTAACTAAACTAATTTCAGCAATAAAAAGTTTGGGAATTGATAAGGAACATAATTTTATTATCTGTCGAAAATTGACTGGATTTTTCAGCGTACGCAGTATGGAAATGGTTAGGGTAACTTTAACCTATTTTCCACCACTTTTATTTTCTTTTAACATATGTCCACTTTAAGGTTACATGTACCTCTACTAATTTCAGCAATAAAAAGTTTGGGAATTGATAAGGAACATAATTTTATTATCCGTCGAAAGTTGAGTGAGTTCTACAGGTTGAATGGTACGAAAAATGGTTAGGGGAACTTTAACCTATTTTCCACCACTTTTATTTTGTTATAACATATGTACACTTTTAGATTACATGTACCTCAACTAATTTCAGCAATAAAAAGTTTGGGAATTGATAAGGAACATAATTTTATTATCCGTCGAAAGTTGACTAGATTTTTCAGCGTACGCGGTATGGAAATGGTTAGGGTAACTTTAACCTATTTTCCACCACTTTTATTTTGTTATAACATGTGTACACTTTTAGATTACATGTAACCCAACTAATTTCAGCAAAAAAAAGTTTGGGAATTGGTAAGGAACATAATTTTATAACCCGTCGAAAGTTGACTGGATTTTTCAGCGTACGCGGTATGGAAATTGTTAAGAGAACGTTAACCTATTTTCCACCACTTTTATTGTCTTATCACATATGTCCACCTTAAGGTTACATGTACTTTAACTAATTTCAGCAATAAAAAGTTTGGGAATTGTTAAGGAACATAATTCTATTACCCGTCGAAGGTTGGCTGGATTTTTCAGCATAAGCGGTATGGAAGAGATTAGGGGAACTTTGACCTATTTTTCACCACTTTTTATTTTGTTATAACATATGTACACTTTTAGGTTACAATTTACATTGTTACAATTTAAGTTTACATATATACCTACCTCTATATGTATATAATTAATGTATATAATTAATATAATTATATAATGTATATAATTAATATACATCTATAGATGTATATTAATTATAATATATAATAATATAGTGTATATTGACATTTTGAAATAAAAAATTTATTTATACTCAGTTTTTATAGTTACTTTTATATTTTAAACAGTAGTTTTAGGTAGAAACGAGTCTATACATTATTTAGGTAATATATGTATATTGCGATAAAAGTAAATAACTATATAATTTTCCACTAGTATACTTTGTCGTAATACATATATTATTTAAGTATATTCACTACTTAATAAATAAGTATAGGGAATTAGTTTTGGTTTGGAAATCTGTAAATTATCCGTAGTAGGTAGTTGCATATGCGAGGTCTTTTTTTTTAACATCGACTGTACTACTCTAAGCTAGGCGCTAGGCGGTATCTGATTGGTCGAGAGGGAGAAGAGGGGAAGTCGTTGGGAATGGGCACACGGAAGGGACTAAGGCTAAAGGTGTAGTGACGTCATATCTCTAGTGGGTAATGTCTTCTCTTGAGGCGACACGATTACCGTTACGAAACGATGTGATTTCAGCGGCGTTCGTGGCATAGTTGGTAGCGTTTCGGATTGGTGTGCAGGAGGTCCCGGGTTCGAATCCCGCTGGTAGCACTGACTTTTTGTCAACAAATTTTTCATTTCAGCAAGTTTGGTTGGTTAGGTTAGGTTATGACAGTTTAATTTTATAATACTACATTTTAAAATTAATTTTATAATTAATTAAAAATTATAAGTAATTATTAATTACATTTTTATCTTATATAGTTTTTATACTATCAGCAAGTCTGGTTGGTTAGGTTATGTTATGACAGTTTAATTTTAAAAATTAAAAATTTATTTTATAATTTTAAAACAATATTTTATAATTAAAAAGATAATTTTATAACTAAAAAAAAAATAATTTAAATTATTTCAACTTAGCAGTTCTAGCAGCGAACGCTGACACTACAAGATATGTTAGCCTTAGTCCCTCCCGTGTGCCCCACCGGAAGTCGTTGTGGGAGGGGAAAAAATGTAGGGTCGACAGCTGGCGATAGCTGTCTTCACGGTCGTAACCAACATGATAACTTAATAACATTAGTCCTACCAGACACTAACTTAGGTAAGTCACCAACAAGAACCTAAGATACAGCTTATTCATATGCTAATTCTGGATCATCAACATCAAGCAATATTGGGGTACAGTTTCTTAACTGGGCTATGCTAATATCGATTGAAACTGTCGATTCGATTAGTAAACTTTCATGCGATTTTTTCACCTTGGTTGGTTAGGTTAGGTTAAGATAGTTTAATTTGATAATAAATATATTTAAAAATATCGATTATTAATCAATCTCTATTTTCAATTCGATAGTTTCAATCGATATTAGCATAGCCCAGTTAAGAAACTGTACCCGTCTCTTTTTCCCACTGACCCAGTGTCAACTTTAAGAATTTGTTTAAGTTATGTAAAAATATTTGGCTGCACTTAAATCGCATGAAGGTTTACTAATCGAATCGATAGTTTCAATCTATACTTATTAGCATAGCCCAGCTAACAAACTCTACCCGTATTTTGAATATTTCATTCCTTTAGTTAGGTTAGGTTTTACCCTAACTAACCAAACTTGATATAGGCCTAGGCCTAAGTTTATCAAATGAAATAATCAATATGACTGGGACGGATGGCGTCGTCCTGTAATCCAGCTATTAGGAGGTCACGAATTGTGGATATTTATAGGCATGCACTGTGGATTCGACACTCCCTGGTGTGGATTAACATCCGCACGAGTGAGTACTTACTACGACTCTCCCCAGTACTATCCTGATAATTAGACCAATTCGTACTTATAGGCCTATACCAAGGCAATAACTTAATGTGGTTCGGATTCCACTATAAACTGTATGTCCCTTAGTTGCCATTAGCTGTTTGGGCTATTAATTAACAGCTGTGTCTAAGGAATGTCAGTCTTAGTCACTAACAAGACTACAAGATCGCTCCACTCATCTCCATTCATACTTGGCTTAAAATACCTACTTTGTATGGTCGCCAAGTAATAAGAAAGAAAGTAGGCCTATTAAAGAAATACATTCATTGGAATGAGTGTAGGACGTAAACTTAAGTGCTTTCAAATATTCTAGAGCTGTTTGTATTTTGTGTAAGACTAGACTTGGATTATATCATTCATTGCTGATGACTTCAATGTTAGTTTTATAGATGATCCTGGAGCAAAGGCTGTAATTTAACCTGAACCCAAATTGGTCTCTGTTTTAAATATTGTCTTGAACCAATAAGTTAAGAGGACTAACTTTTCTGGACGACCTTGCCATCGACATCACTGCAGATGAGAAAGAAAGAGAGACCAGAGTTGTGTACCTAATTACCATACTGCTGTGATAATGTTCCTTGGTCTAACCATAACTTAAGTGAGGTGAGTCAATATTCTTTCCCCTTTGGGATAGATTCTAGGCTGTTTGTTAACTAAGTAATTCAAAGTTCAAATCGGTACTTTGGTAAGTATTATCCGGAGGCTACAAATATACAGCGCTTTGCGGCGGTTAAGTTATGTTAGGTTGGGTTATCATGGAAAGAACATTTTTATGTCCTAGGCCTACTGTCCATATTTGGGTGGGTTTATTCTTAACTGTACAATATCTTTTGTTTGATTTTTTTGCGTTTATAAATTTATTTTATGGACAGAATTTAACCTTCATTCGATTGGTGGTTAAATGACAGCTGTTTAATAATACATGTACACTTGAAAATAAGTTGGCTACCCATTCAAGATATTACGACTACGATCAACTGGTACAGCTTACCATTTCACCAATGTTTGGATTCAACCTAACCTATAAACGTGTTGAACAGAGTTTGAAAGACTAATTATTTATATGTTTTATAATAACTGTAAGAAAAATATGATTCGTAACACAAGTGCAAACTGCCTTTGCTGCACTCGAGATACTTTCCACACTCGCCTACGGCTCGTGCGTTTAAACATTTCTCTCATGTGTAGCAAAGTGCCACTTCGCCCACTAGTTAAGCCTACTATAGTTTTTGGTGGAACATGAGGATAATATATAATCTGTATGCAAATTTATAGTTTTTTATAACAATTTAAATCTAGGCCCCTACTTAAAATTTATTTGGATTACATCTCGAAACATGTTGTTTAGAAATTACTTAATTAGGCTATAGCTTGCATTTTTGCAAATTGGGAAATAACAATGAATTAATATTTGAAGCAATTTATTTTGTCTAAACCAAATTATTGTTACAAATTCTAATATTTGTACTAACTTGACCCAGATTTGCTCAAACATTTTCCTATTAGCTGTGTACCTATTTGAATATCGCAAATATAGAAAGGAGTGTACACACTTGTATTATTTGTTAGACTAAAATTATTTGTATAACACTATTTTTTTGCAATATTTCTGTACAGAGCTGAAGCCTACCAGTAAAATGGGGGTGTTGTAATTAATATCCTCCGACACTGGAGGATACAGGGGAGAGGTGTCAGAGGAAGAGGAGATGGATGATGGGGCCAGTTTAAGACTAAGATTGAAGAAAACTAACTTATGGTAAGTTTTGCCATTTACTTAAATTTAATACTTATAAATCCAGGGCCGTGTCCATTGCCCCGAAGCCTATGTCGCATAACCCTCCTGAATTACTAGTATTTAACCAGCATTTTAACTGGAGAGGTGCCCAAAAATTTGCTTTTGTTTTTTAGGAAATGTAGGCTATATTTTTTTACACCATACAGTAATTATAATTATTTTGAATATGTCATTGTGTTTACATTTGGTTAGTACTGAAACAGCAATAATTTTAAGACAAATGGAAAAGCCCTGTCAACCGAAGCAGTTGAAACAAGTAGAAAAATTCTCATACATCAATAAGGTATTTAGTACGAGCGTGGTTCAATAAGACCTTAGAAAAATATATAATAACACAATTTTTTGTGATAAATTCGATTTATTTTGTTATAATCTCCTTTTATTTAGCTCTATACACTTATCTTAAAGTTTCGCAAAACCTCCTTCAAATGCTGTCCAAATAAATAGCACCCTACAAACATGAAAAGCCTTCAAAATACTCTTTTTTTTTCAGTGATGACCTCATCATTTGACATCAAACGTTGCCCACCAGGTCAATTTGTTATCTTAAGAAATAAAAAAGGTCATTCAGGGCGTTTGACAAACAAAATTATTTGACGGTTTTCTTTGCCACCCTGTCAAGCGAGTGAGTGTTGGAGGGTGGTGGGAATGGTGTCGTCCCGTTTGCGAACAGTCCCGTTTGCAAACAAATTTTTGGCTGTGGGGTGAGGTACCTTGGAAGGAGTCCCGTTTGCGAACAAGTTTCGTTCTACCCTCAGTCAGGTAGTCTCCCGCACGTTAATTGTTGTCTTTCTGCTTGTAGAATACAAAGCTAATATTCAAAGACATTATCAGAATATGTGCTTTTTAGGCCTACTTTTGAATATTGTTTGTATAAATATTGGTTATTTCATCGGCAGTAAACAAGTACAATGAATCAATACGAGCAGGGACTATTCTTTTGATTAGATTCATTAACTGTCTGTAACGAATATAAATAAAATGTGACATGTTTATTTATTCTTATATTTGATGGTTCATTCATTATTGATTTTATGAAATAAGTGAGATTGTATATCTGTTGTTGTATCTAACCCTAATTAATTATTAAAAATTTCGCTAATGTGAATAATTGTATTGAAAGATTTTGGTGTAAAAAATAGTGAAATTATAAAGTTCACATTTACTTGAATCATTTTAAAATTTTTGAACAATTAACATGTGTTAAGAGTAGGGTACACACCTTAAAAATTGAAACTTTTTCTCAAGGAGATAATTAATTGTATATTTTTGCCATTTTGAGAGAAATATTGTTTACACCATTTGCCTTTTCACAAATTTTTAAATCCTAATTTCATATTACCCATAGATTAGTTATGATGTTTTCTAATCCAGAGGTAGCTACTACCTATCTATAATATTAAAACGAAACAGTGTTTTTTTATTTCACGATTCTGAATCAACTACTCGACGGATTTTCATGATTTTTGTGTTGAAAGAAAGATAATTTTGTGAACTAGGGAATGTCGAAGCCATAATTTTAGTTTAGGGTCCCAGTTTTTTAAAAATTAAGTTTTAATTTTTTAAAAATCTAGCAGCCGACGCTAAGATTCTAAACTAGCTTTTGGCATAAAATAATTTGCTTAACATAACAGCTGTAAACATTCAGCTTTTGTGTCACAAATTCAGCATTTGGATAATAATTACATGCTTAGGGTTGACTTATTTATACTATGTGTAATGCTATGCTCATTGTACGTCCATTTTATGGGTAAGAGGATGACAGACTATTTAAATATTCATGGTTTAATGATAGATGTTCTAATTTATTTTTTAGAGCAATCTTTAAAATTTTAAGTTTGTTTTAGTGCAATATAATTTGTTTTAACTAACAGCTGGTTGAATATAAAAGTTGTTTTTCAAACTAACAGGTTAGTTTATTATTCTGTGATGTTGGCATTGAATATAGAAAATAAGTAAGATTCAAGATTCTATAACAACTGATGTATACAAATCGAGGCTCTGCCCCCGAGTATTCAAAGGAAAAATTATGCAAATTATTTTTCGTTCGACTTGTTGAGGAAAGAATAGGAAAATGTGTACATGTTTTAGTTCATCTTGGCAGCTTTTTGTTTTCAGGAAATGGTTAACTGCTTGAACTTTGCTTGGATTAGAAATGGAAATATTAATATAATTTCAGTTTTTGTTGACTTCTCAATCCCGTACGTAGGACGGGCCAACAGCTCGTCTATATTATAACTTTTGACACCTTCTGTAGATTTCACATTCTATTCAATGAATAACTTTTTATGAGCGTTTCATGGTCATGATATGTATATTTTCAACCAAGTTCCTCTTAACTTAACCTACCCTCGACATAAACATTGTTTGACGACGTTAAATTTCCTAATTCTAAGCTGATATACAAATATTTCAATTTAAAAACAACAATAAAATACCCCCACCGCAGCAAACCTGCAGACTAAGCGAATTTCCATTTGACTGATTTGATTTACACTGAAATGTCTACTTACAAATATAACATTTATTCCCGATTTAAATAGAATTAGTTTAACAAGTACTTAGGTTTTGCTGCATCAGGGAGGGTAAAACTGTTTTTTTGTAAAACGTTAATAGTTAGTAAAAAATAAAAACATTTTCCAAATTTGATAAAAATATGTTCATAAACAAGCAAACTACAACAGTTTACTTATTCTCCATAAGAATAACATGGGAATTTTAAATTTACAATTTTTTGGAATTTCCTCCGTAACCATTAGGCGCATAATACGCTTCAATATACTAAATTATTTGTTTTTTTAAGCTCTACAAAATGGTTTGGAAAGAAATTGCTAAATTTTATGTTTTTTGGGTCAAAAATGGGAAAAACCTATTGTTACCCCATAAAACCCCCCGTAAACCCCCGTTCCCATGGTCCGATCATGCTGGATCGTGAACTCGTTCAAATAAACGTAGGTTTACACGTTTGTACCAAATTTCATCAAAATCGTTGTCGTTGTTATGGTTTGTTCGTTATGTAGAGGTTTATACATTGTGTCTTATGGAGAGTTCTAGGGGATTAAAAAAAATTCGTTATATCAAGGAATTTGTTATATCGAGGTTTGTTATATCAAGGTTAGACTGTATTAATTTTTGTTCTGTTATATTCCAGGCCTGATGACAGGGTGGATGGTGATGGAGGCATGGAGGTTGGGGGAGAGAAGGCTGAAGAAGTGAAGACAAATCAGTTTAGATTCATTATAATGATTAGTTTAATATTTATTTTGAATACCCGTATACTTTTATAAAAATTTTTTTCTCATTTAGATTATTTAATTAGGAAAATTTTATTATTTTTATAAAGATGTTTTCTTAAATTTTTAATATTTGTTTGTACTTCTGCCTGGTAAAAAACAAAACTGTTTATTATGTTTGTTAAAATGATTAGGCCCTACTTCCACTAATGGACCTTGTCTTGGGTTAAAAGAGATATCTTGATATTTAACTAGCAGGGTGCCTGTTCTATCTATGGGCGGGGATCGTATAAGTCAGTTGAAACCTTCTTATATTTCGATATTTGGTAAATTAATCATTTCCAACTTTATGTAGTATAGATCGCTATTTCTGTATTGATGTACTGAAATGAATAAAATTATATGAAATTAAATGTTTTTTTTTTTATATATTCTGATGAAACACTATTGATAAGGCATAAGGCATAACAATATTCTAAAGTTTATAACAGCTGATGTTTGTGTTTTTATTAATGATTATTGTATTGTGACTTTTGAGTGGTTGAAGGATTTGTGGTGATTTGGTTTTTAAGGAGATTGATGTTCCTAATTGTTTAAAGTCTATATCTATCTATCTATATACTTATTTAATACGCAAGCAGATCTTTTGTGACAATTACTCCTCCGAAACTACTGAACCGATTGTCATGTTTTTGGTGTCATTGGAAAGAGCGTAGCGTGGAGTTGTGCAGGAAACTTTCTTTTTAGGGAAATAATGAGAGAGTGAGGCCCTGGAGCCCTTTAAAGTTTCTTATTTCTCCATAAGATTAACATGGGAAACAAAAATTATTATAAAACTCCAGCTGTTGTCAGAAATCAAAAGTGAGAAGAAGAGCATAGGTTAATTGTAAACAGTCAATAAGTTTGCTAATAAAACAGTTTGCTACAAATATTTGCTGACTTGGTTGAAGTTCGTTTTAAAATAACGCCTGTAATACTTAGCAATTGCTCGAATTCGAGCAACAGGGACACTAGTACTTATTTAATACGCAAGCAGGTTTTTTGTGACAATAGTTTTGTATTTCTCCATAAGATTAACATGGGAAACAAATATTGTTATGAAACTCCAGCCGTTGTCAAAAATTAAAAGTGAGAAGAAGAACATATGATAATTGTAAACAGTCAATTAAGTTTGCTAGTTTAACACGTTCGCTGCTGCCCATCAAATGGCAGGCGTAGCCCCAGTGCGGCGCAGCCCGCAGCGTCGAACAAACTCGATTGCCGGGCTATTGGCTTACATATTTCGGTATGAAGAATATCAAATAACGTGTGGTGATGTCCTGTTTCATGACAAGAGTCGACATAGTTTGCTAAACACCCACAGTAGATGCCATTATTTTACAATAAAACAAAATCAATATAGCACAAAATTACAGTTTACAAACGTAATGAGTGAGTCAAAATCCACCAGGTATAGTTTTGGAACGAGTAACGATAATTACAAATGGATTGCACCACAAAACTGCCACTGTCATACACAAAGCGCGGACAAAAATACTCCAACCTACACCGGAGTGCGGCTGCATTAAAACGGAATAAGTTTGGCGGGTGCACATTTATCGCCCGGGCGGCGCGCCGCTGCGTGGCAGAGCGCGGAGCTACCGCCCGGGCGGTAACCCGCAGCGAACGTGCAGTTTGCTACAAACATTTACTGACTTGGTTGAAATGGAATATTTACAATTTGAGTTTAATAATACAACATACTCTTATTTTATCTTAGCATAGCTTTCAGCTCATATTTACTTTATTTGATACATTTATTATTAGTGTTTTGCAACAACACTGATTAAATTAAACCAAGGAAAATACCGGTATCATAAAACTGCAGTACACAGTGTTTTTTTTGTTTCTAAAATCTATGAAATATCTGTTACTATGTTTACTTAATGGTAAGTGTGAAAATGTAAAGGCAATGGATGATGGAACTGATTAAGAGAACTGGTTTGTATATTAAGTTGGTTTTTGATATTTTTAGAGTAGAATCAGAGATGCAATGAAACACATACTGTATTTGCTATTACATTTTTTAGTCCTTGATGCTTTGATAATCTTATTAATTTGTCTGCTGTCTTTAACACTAAATTATTTGTTTAACATTTTTTATAGTACCTATAGATATAGTTTTAATATTTCAAAAGACTGTATTGATAAGGCACAGCAATATTTCTAAAGTTTATAACAGCTTACTTAGTTTTGCTAATGATTTATTGTGAGAGAAGAAACTGAAGATGGAAAGGATTTGTGATTTAATATAAAAAAGAGTTAAATTTTAAAAAATTGTCATTTAAATCTAATAATTAGTTTTTTTGCAACTTCAAAGTTAAAATTGAAAATGTCAATAATAAATTAAAAGATATATGTAACTAAGGGAGATGAAGGTAAATAATGTATGTCAAAGTTTTATTCGAGGATTTGGTCAGTTTTCCGCATATCAGCCAACATAAGATTTAAAATTAATCAAAACCAAAATGGTGGTATCCACTACTTACCAGATTTAAAAGTCATAACTTAAATGTTTCTAAACGTTAAATTTTGTTTCTAAAAGCGTTGGGGGATGTGTAACTATTATATGCAACAGATGTAAAGATTAAAATGTTTCTGTTCTGTATCCTCTTCCCGTTGCAAAGCACGGGTACAACAGCTAGTAGTCTATAGAATAATATGGAATAGTAATAAATAAATTTTATAAATATTACTCATGAGCTACTTTACAAAAGAAGATTCTCCACACTTCCAGTTTGTTTAGAAGAATCCTTATAAATAAATCAGCTGATTGAATTACTTAAAATGTGAAGAATTTGTTGGAGACCGCTCGGGGAACATCATTAGTTTACTCTAAAAGCAGTCTTAGTATTGCAGATATGAATCCATTCCCAGACACTCTGCACTGCTAGCCTTTACTAATTCTTTTACCATTTCCTGTGTCGTGGTCATGTTTCCATCCCTTCTCATAGCATTTCAGTATTGCAAATACATTATTCTAACTGCTACAAACTGTTTCCAGTTCCCACACTCCACACTGCTCACCTTTTCTACATAGCATTTTAGGATTGCAGATACCTTAATATAATCGTCATAAACGGTTCCCACACTCCGGACTGCTCACCTAGACTACTTCCTTCACCACTTCCTACGTCGCGGACCTGTTTCCCTCCCTTACCATAGCATTTGAGGATTGAAGATACCTTAACTAATCGTCATAAACAGTTCCCACACTCCGGACTGCTCGCCTTTACTATTTCCTTCACCACTTCCTAGTCGCTGACCTGTTTCCTTCCCTTTCCATAGCATGTAATGATTGCAGATACCGCAATCTAATCGTCATAAACAGATCTCACACTCCACACTGCTACCCTTGACTACAATGTATCGAGTTATCTTCAGTATAATCTTTTCTTAATAGTAACAACTGATGTTTTTCCTTTTTTACTGTATTTTGTAATTGCTAGTACTGTGGATAGACTACTTAAAGTCTTTTGTTTACTTTTTCCTTGTTATTTAATTCAGCCAAGATGGTTACCAAGCAACCCATAAGACTAATGTTAAAAAAAATGTGACTTTCAGTTTCATTTTTCTACGTAGTTAGATTTTTGTTGGCAGTTCTAACTGCAGTAAACTCGTTTTTAGGCCAGTAATAAACTATTTACAACATTTGAAGAAAATCGTCGGAGCCGTTTTTGAGATCTTGGTGCAAGCATACATGCATACATACACATACAAGCAAACATTGTTCATATTAGAGTATAGGATAGGATATTGGTAAGAAACCTTGTACCATTCTCTTATTTTAGTTTTTATTTTAGCTGTAGTTGTACTGACGTTTTCCAGTAATATAACTGCATTTTCAAAATGACATTTTGTGGAAATAAAAGTTCTTGATTCTTGATTGCGGTTATAGACGAATCTAAACAGTCAATCAGTTTTGCTGGAAGAACAGAAAATTTCTGGAGTTTAAAGGAGAAATATTGAAAACAGGAGGAGGAGACAATTAATAGGAAATACAAGGTGGCTGAAAAGTAGCTTGCACCCCCCCTTAACTTTTCAACCATTTGAGATATTTGAAATCGGTTTGCGGCAAACTTCTTAGATATGAGGGGCTACAATAATTATGATCAATTTTGAAAATTTTGCCATTAGGGGTAGCGAGGGTAGGGGGTAGCTCAAAATTTTCAAATGACAAGTATAGTCGAGTTTGGTATCATTTTACAGGTCTTGACGAAACATAAACATTGATATAATGAAAACCAAAATCGGCTCACTAATAACAAAATGGCGCCGTAAAACGTTTTAAATTCAAATAACTATGAGGGTGGCAAAAAAATTAACTTGCACCCTCTTTAACTTTTTAACTATTTGAGATATTTGAAATCGGTTTGCGGCAACTAGTTTGGAAATAAAGGGCTACAATAATTATGGTCAGTTATTTTGAACATTTTGCCCTTAGGGGTAGCGGGGGTAGGGGGTAGCTCAAAATTTTCAATTAGCAAGTATAGTCGAGTTTGGTAACATTTTACAGGTCTTGACGAAACATAACAAATAACATAAAGAAAATAGAAATCGGACCATTAATAACAAAATGGGAGCTATACATGATTGAGACAATTGGTTATTTAAAGTAATTTTGAACTGCCATTTTGTTATTAATGATCCGATTTCTATTTTATTTGTGTTAATTGTTATGTTTCATCAAGACCTACAAAATGATACCAAACTCGACTATACTTGCTATTTGAAAATTTTTAGCTACCCCCTACCCCCGCTACCCCTAAGGGCAAAAATTTCAAAACTTACCATAGTTATTGTAGCCTTTCATTCCCAAACAAGTTGCCGCAAACCGATTTCAAATATATCAAATAGTCAAAAAGTTAAAGAGGGTGCAAGTTAATTTTTTTGCCACCCTCATGGTTATTTGGATTTGAAACGTTTTAGGGCGCCATTTTGTTATTAGTGAGCCGATTTTGGTTTTCTTTATGTCAATGTTTATGTTTCGTCAAGACCTGTAAAATGATACCAAACTCGACTATACTTGTCATTTGAAAACTTTGAGCTACCCCCTACCCCCGCTACCCCTAGGGGCAAAATTTTCAAAATTGACCATAATAATTGTAGCCTCTCATATCCAAGAAGGTTGCCGCAAACCGATTTCAAATATCTCAAATGGTTGAAAAGTTAAGGGTGGGTGCAAGTTACTTTTCAGCCACCCTGTATTATACGTATTAGATGAGTAGAGGAGATGCCTGGTCTCACAGTAAATCCAGGTACACAATCATACTTAGGGAGATGAATAATTATTGCCAGATATATTAAGCA